TATTACTTTTGTATATCTTTACTTCTGATAATACTAAAATAGTTAACATTCTTTCACCGCGTCCCATTTTTGTCAGGGTGTACCGCCTTTCGGACCCAAGGTGCGACACAGACAAAATAATTGGATCTCCTCTTTAGTGATAAAACAATTCCAAATAATGTTTTACCTCAAAGATGCATTTATAATCACTAGCAATAAGATTTTATTGACATATACAAACACTTTGAAGAAGCCGATGCAACCAGAGATTGCAGGTGTAAGAGGACAAATACCTTCACTGAGATAAAGATTGATATGAGTGAAAGATAATTGACCAGGGATGCAAATGATGAGATGGAAAGCAATCAAAACTATATCCCCATAAATCTAACGAGGAGCATTCAAATGACATATATATCCTTGGCCTTGCAACATCAAATGACATTTTGTGAATTCAAAAATATTTTGTCAAGATATCTTAGATTGTATAAATTCTAGAATATTATCAATGCATAAAATTTTGAAACTGAATCTTTATTTATTTATTTTGATAGAAGTGTAAAAAGCATTAAGAACATCTGGTTGAATATTTAACAACTAAGTCCAAACGATCTGCAAACAGTAATCAATTGAAACAAAAAAATAAGAACTAAAAAAAAAACATAAGACTAGATGCGTGAGAATAGGAATAGGGCTCCAAATATTTGAATGGGCTAACTCCAAGGGGAAGAGAACAACAATTAGTAGTAGAAAAAGAAAATGATACGTGATTGTACTTTCCCAACATAAAGTATGTTTGTCAAATTTTGATAGAAACGAGGAAATAAAAAAAAATTCACTCCCACCACTTAAAAAATGACAAGGGCCATTCATATAAAACACTATTATACTTGCAATATCAAGAAGATTGCAGTTTCTATATTTAGCAATACCATTCTATTGAGATATGTACATAGAATAATTTTGATGAATAACATTATTGCTAAGAACAGAAAATGTAAAACTTAGAATAGATGAATTCTAATGGATTATCAGTTCACAAAATTATAATTAAAGTGCAAAAAAAAAATATTTTTTGATAAAAAATAAAAAATGCATGAAAGACCTCTAACTGACATTTCAATAAGTAAACTAAATCAACCTGTAAACAATCATCAATAGAAGTTATCAAATAGTTGAGTCAATTAAGAGAAGGATTGCAAATGCCAAGCTAATTCAAAAGGAAGAGGTAATGGTAGGACAAGCATGAGTTAAATGTGGAAATAAATATATAAACATGTAAAAAATCCTTTAGTTGAGAGGATAATGACACAACCAACAACGTCACTAAAATGGAGAAATAGAGAAAGAGAAGGCAAAAAGAGAATCAGTCAAGAAGTATTAGACCCAATCAGCTTCAACACTACCAATCATTTTTTTTTTTATTTTATTTGAAGATCCTAAAAAAAAAATAAGGGGAAATAGATTATAAATCAATTATGAGTCATTGTAAGGCAATGAATAGATGACAGATTGGCAAATAATCATGAAACATATAAAACAACTAAAATACTTTCTCAAAACATGTACAATGTGCTTTCCAATGATAAAAGTGAGTTAACTATCAATAACTATAAAAATTTTCAAAGACAGAAGATGGGGACCATCAAAAAAAACAACATAAAGCAGAGACATCAGAAAAAGGCACCCAACTCTAAAATAAAAACCGTACCAATAGACAACATAACCATAACAAAAGTTTACATGACATGCTTAA